CACACAGACTGTGAGTGCCTCTAACATCATTTAACAGTTCACTTGCAGTTGCGGTAACACTTACATAGGCAAGACTGGTCACCGGCTGGCTCAAAGGGTAGCGGAACACTTCTCATTGTGGCTAAGGCAGTTGCTGTCTAACCAAGGCGGAGCGAACCAAGAAATGAACCGGAACCCTTCGTCATCTATCACCAAACACCTCATGATAACTCGTCACCAGGTGAACCCAATCGATTCATTCAAAGTGCTATTGCACAACAAGAACCTGACGTTGTTGGCAATTGGCGAGGCGCTACTGATAAGGTTGTAGTGTCCCGTGCTCTGTGCCCAGAAACAATTGATGCAATCAGTTAGATTGCCTTGGACCTGATTACGTCATTCCCATCAACTTTATCTGCTTATCTAGGTTACTAAGTGTGGACCCTATTTATTACGTGTTTTGTTCTGCCTGTATTGCGTAGCGACTGACGAGAGCAATCGAAATGTTAACATATTGCAACCTCTGTCTTCTTACTGCGTTAATGAAGTGATCTTTTTTACTCGCCCGTTCCATTGCACACTAAGATATGTAGCTACTTTTCCATTGCAGGAATTGATGCGCTATTGCGCAACTGACGTTTTGATGACTTTTGACGTGTTTGAAAAACTGATGCCGCTGTTTGAACAACGGTAAGACTTATAGTCACACTATTCCCTTCAGCGCTACTCTTTCCTTTGCTGTTATCGACGTCCTTCGTTGACCTCCAGCAATCATGGCTTTCTTGTAATCGACGTCAACCAACTACATCCATAGCGTTCTTAAATTCCCATTTAGGAAAATTACGTCTCACCATAGATCTCTCAAGATTGTCCTTAAGGCTATCAATTGACCGAGAAAAGGTATAGAGGTCTATTCCCCTGAATTGACGCACGCGTGTTAAGCTTTATGTTTACAGCACAAGAGAATTACCCAACTCTGCATTCTTTCTAATGTTTGTCGGTCACATATTTTTCCTCTTCTAGTTGCTTCAATGGTGGTACTCGTCCAATCTTTGGGAGTGTTTTCTTGACGAAGGCAATCTCACCCGGTCGACCCATAACTAAATTGCATCAGTTTATCGTTCTCATTTTACAACCGAATACACCCTGCTTACGATTAGTTAGCTCCACTTTAAATGTTTGGGTCACAGTGCTGCGAGTTAACTGTGCGGCTCGTTGTTTTTTTATGCGCAGTCCCTGTCGAATGAGGTGCAACTCCTTATTCCTCACTTACAGTTGAAGATGGTGTCGCATTCAACTTCCCTCAAGCCGTTTAGGGTCACATCTTACCAACCTGGGCCAGGTAACCTCAGTTGGGAGCTTGACTTTTTCACTGCCGCTTGACAAGATTTTCAGCCAATGCTTGCAAGTGGCAACCCTAAGATGAGACTAAATAGCCTCTGCAGTGTATATTCCTAAAGTTATAGCTATCCACGGACGTGGTTGTGGTGGTGGTTTTGGTTACTGTCTTCCGCTCTTTCTCTCCTGTAATTTTTCTCCACGCATCTCTTCTTTACCATTCGTATTCCTCCAATGATACTACGGATCATTTTACGGAGTCTATTACAGCAACTGTGATCGTTACTTTACAAGCACTTGTTTAACTCCCATGCATGCTATCTAATTCGGTGTGACTACCGAACCCTATTCGGCGGTACGCATTATCGACACTTCGCTGTCGCGCAACTACCAACAGTCTCATGCGAGCTAAGAATACTGCCAGGGTCGCTCGGTCCCTACGCAGGTTCGAGCCCGCGCCCTCAGATTACAAGGCGAGCTTGTGATCCTTAAGGTTACTAGCCGGGTTAACCCGAGGGCGTTTGTCATATTTTCACTTCTCAGAATGGTCGCTACGACGCTTGTCTGCCTGCAAGCTACGCGCGGTAGCTGAATGTTTCCCGACTCAAGATGCCGGTTCCGTCTGTGGTGTCAACTTGAGTCAAACTGCAACCCACTTGCGTCGGTCTGTATTATTGCTCAGTACTGCATCTTCTTGAATGGAATCCCGTGATGGTCGATTGAATAAATGGTAAGAGAGCATGAAGGAGCTCACCTAACAACTGACTTGAGTCGGCACTTTCCTTAACGGCGTCCTCAGGATCGGCCGGATCACTGGGTATTTCCCTATGGGATATTGCGAAGTCGCGAAGTCACTGTTCTCGTCTTCCTTTCTTTGTCCCTAACTCTTAACTATTCCGTTTGTCTCTTACTTGTTACCTATTCACATTAAAGTCTTTATTACTGTTATTGTTCTTATTATTTTGTGACTTGCCCCAGTTCAGCTACATCCATAGCACGACATTCAAACCACAGCTGCTCAATTGGGATGATCTGAAACTTATCACCGCAACCTGCCTTTCATTTCGTGCTAGACTGCACTTTGCGCTAAGTTTGAAGACGTTTTACAGTGGCATTGTTGTTGTTCAGCCCTACACCCCCCACTATTGGCCATTTCCTGAGCAGTGCATTTTCTACTCCCTTGGTTTACAAATGCCTCTTGATGTTCCTCACTGTGTTATTCATTTCCTAATCTCCTTTGAACCGGCAAACATCAGATGAGCTATCGTCAGCAATGCATTGCTATTTGACGGTGGCTTCACAGAACCATCATTAGTTTGACTGACTGCGCCCACCAACGTCGAACTTCATGCTGTGTTTTGTGACATCCGTTCATCGCCGCCGCTTCTCAGCATGCCGCGTCCTTATGGTCACACATGTGCCAAGGGACCCGGCTCAAAGAAATAGCTCAGGCTTAACCTATACTTGACCCAACTTGTAGGCAATTGATCAGCAGCTGTCCGATGCTATACTTCTAGAGAATCCGTTGAAGTCGTGTATTAGTGTTTGCAACTAGAATCCTTTTAGCTATGATTACCCTCTCCTAGGGTTAATTGCCAGAGTTGTTACCTAATTTGGGAATTTGACTGAGCCATAGTCTGTACCAGTTGTTTCACGTCGTCTTTTATCGTTGACAGGACCGTAATGTTAGGAAACTACGATTTGTCCCTTTTTCTTATTTATTCCAGTTTCCAGCTGTTTTCCATAATCTGTCCAGAGGTTTTCTCTCCTCCCCGCTTTCAGATTCCCGCACCCAGCCACATTACACGGGTTGCTGGAAATGGGTAGTATGTATCTACCCATTAACGATTCTTGGACAAAGTTCCAACAACGCGCTGACGCCGGGTTCGCTTCCAACGAACTACGCCAAAAGCGACTGCTTATGCAATTGGCTAACGAAGCCCTTCAGCGGTATTCTAGCCCTGACAAAGAGTACGTTTCTGCCATCAATTAGTTTCGAATTAACCATGTGTACTTTGAATAGTCACATTTTTATTCTCGATGCAACACCGCACACCCAGGTAGGCGAAGATCACTAATCCTTAAACAACTGAAGCGAAAGAAGGTCTATGAGGTCTTCGGCAGATAAACCTCAGGCATTCTGCCACAGAAGGATTCACTGCTCATATTGGTACCCCATCTCAACTGCGTATTTTGTTCCGGAATTTGATGCTCTAGCGACTCCTCCGGCTACCTCCTATGTCAAGTAACAAAGGCGAAACAACAAACAAGCTACGTCAGTAGGTCATTTTTCTATACCAAACATGGTTTGAATTATTCCAACTCATAGTGCGACCCACACCAGATTACTGCATCATCGTACATAGCCACCCACGCAAGACAGATAAAATTGCTTCGTAAAACTTCCAGCGCTCATTTACCGCAATGATCATGGGGCTCTCATCAACGCTTACCTATAAGGAGCAATTTTCCTACCCCTGCCTGACCCACTTTGGCTTTGACTGCCAAAAAGCTGCAATATAATGTACTCGCGCGTCTTCTCACACATTTTGGCTGTCGTTTTACAAAATGACTCAGCCTATCCCACTTCAAATGGGAAATTTCTCCTATTCTTACGAAAGAACAAGCAAAATATTCGCCCAGACTTCTTGGTGAGGTACGCCCATCTGTAGAATATACTACGGTTACGATTAAGGACCAGCGAGGCCCTCATTTAATAACGTTTCTTTCCATGCCAAATGTGCTCAAACGTTTCGACCTCCAGCAATCATCTACGAGTGCGCTCATGAAATTCGGACCAAAAACACGACAAAACCAGCTTTCCGATAATGTGACTTATTCCATAAAAAATTGCATCACTTATCCATATTGAACGCAAATTCCTAAATGAAATGAAACTCGCTGTAGAAATAATCGTTCCACCAAAGGGAACGTATCCCACTCGTTGGTTATTTATCAATCACCAGATGTTGACTATACCCCAACAACTCATGTCTGTTAATTCTCAAGTTTAATTTTTCCCCCTTAGCCTCTAGATTTGTTCAACCCAGAGGCGTTCATCGCGATAAGATACAACGGTCCACGTATCTCTACAATCCACTGAGCGCCAACGTGTAAGCGCCTTCTTGACCTATCCTACCCTACCGAGCATAGTGTCGATGTACTTTCGTCGGAGTTCGAGCACCTCCGTCTCGAAATGCAGCCAATGGGAACAATACCCGAGAATATACATTAATATTTCTTTATTATTTAAGTTATGGGCTTGGGGTTCATATTGACCGCATGGATGCCACGCGATGTCCATGTGAATACGGGAGTGTATCTGAATGAAAGCGCAACTTGGTAGCTCAGCTTGTTCTAGTGGCAGTCAAACTGTTCGCTGAGCTTGGCAGGTTTTTTGCAAACCTTTCGTCGCCACTCAGTGCACCGCTGAGTAGCGTGTACCAAGTACCGTAGCGCAGGGGAGCCTCGATGAGAGGTGCGTCGGGTATAGTGTGCTTGCGTTTTTTATGTTACTCTGTTTTGTCGCGTAGATGGGCAATCCTATTGGCTGGGATATCTGCCCGTGTTCAGCTTGTTGTTAAAAAGGGATCAGCTTAGAGAAGTGGTCAGGATACAGCGATGGTGAACTTCGGAGGTACCACTGTACATGTTAGTGCCTAACTGAAGTAGTACGGCCATCCATAGGACTACCTCAAATGGATCTGCTTCCATGCAGGGTATTTCTTTAAAAGGTTTCTCCCGCACTTCCATGCCCCCTCTGGCCGTGTGCCTGTGTGACCCGAAAGCAAGTTAGCCGTCACCCTTTTTAATTCATCTTCAGGGCTGTTATAATGTGCAAGCAGTATGGGCATGGATGTACTCATTAGCTTAAAAACTTTAATCCATCACCTCAAGAGATCGGCCCAATAATGTCAGTACTACTTGATCCACTGAGAAACGGTAATTTCGACTTTTGTTCTAAAGTTACTGTTACCTATTTTTGTAGCCCCAGCAATGACCCCTGGCTCTGGGATTTGGACTGGTCGAAACCTAAGGCATCTCCGGTGAGTTACTAAACATTATTGTTTGCTTGGTACTGTAACTGTTTTTCACCTTTTCCATTCGTTGCATTTCTCTGGAACTTTTCATTCCTTCTTGTTGAACGTTTTCCTCTCTTCCCCTTCATTTGGTCTCTACCTAACACATGTTCTTCATCGATAACTATGCTTTTGCGCATTTCCACCTCAGGAGCAGAACCATTGTGTGTTGATTTAAAACTCTTGTTCGAAATGTTATTAGTCCTCTTCATAGGTTGGCGAGCTTTTAGTCTATTGTTACTCTTCCGGCCGCGGCACCGGAACCGGTTTCCTTTAATTCCGCATATGTGTGTTTCCTATCTCTCTGTCCTCTTGCTGATTTGTATCCCTCTATTATTTGTATTACAGAAGACCGAGGTTGAAAAGAAGCTAGCTACACTGCCCAAGTTAGTGTATTACCTCATCAATCGTGCACATATTGTTGTTGTTGTCGTCATAAGTATTGGACCGGGATTGGCGTTCTGTGATTGGAGAAAAATGAAGAGCACATTCCTGATCCGAATCTCTTATACGCTCTACCGATGGATTCGAATTGTTAGATCTTCAGTTGTCTCTAGCAATGCCCCCGTCTTTTGAGTTGTTTTGATTTTTCTGTCATCAAGCGCTATTTATCAGCATTTTAAGGAGGCTGATGAGATTTGCTGTATTGTTGTTCCAAAATTTACATTGCATTCTCCATGGCCCTGATTCGGGTCCCTGTTCATGCTGAGGCTCCGTGACTTTTGCGGTTTCTCAGTTTTCGTACAGCCCCTTGTGGTTGTACAGCAGCACAGTAGTAGTAGAATGTAAGTGGCGGAATGCATTGAGTTTGTTTAAGTGCTTGAGCGGTTTTGTGATTGCTAGGTTGGGCAGTGACTGGGGCCTCGGACTTATGATTGGTGATCTACACGTCAACCTTTCGAGTGTGCGTTGGCGATGTCGCGGCATCCCTAAATCACACGCGACTGCTCGTAGTCGCGTGACAACGAACAGTCGATACGACATAGTGACCTTCTGCTACTACCCCTTCACCGAGTTAGGTGAAGGTTTCGGATGACATCCCAAAGCTCTCAGGTTCGAGTCGCGGTCCTACAGTCTCTGTCTTATAAATCTAACGAAGTACTCAACCCGTCTTCGGGGACAGAGTTGCGAATGAGTAGCATTAAGTATTCGCATGCTTCATGTGCAGTTTTAATGACCAAGTTGACCATTCAACTCTTCCCAATGTGCGTATAAAGGTGGACCTGGCTGTTGTATACGAAAGGTCAAATGCACGAGCAAGTTAAAAGGTCACTCTAGCAAACGAACTGCTGTAATCTGATCAATGTTTAACTGGGTGAGTACATTAAGGCGTCGCAAGGTGAAGGATGAACCAATAGGCAAGCAGAGAATTAGACGCTTTGTGTGTGTGTGTGTGTGTGTGTCTGGGGTTGTGTGCTCATGTCTGTTTCGACTAGCCATCAAGAATGCTGACAGAATACACAACATCACCTCTCCGCTTAATCGTATGATGCGTCAAAACCATATCGATTCGGCAGTCTTTGTTCTCGGCTCGTCCTGCGGAGCTGCTTGCTTTGCGTGGTTTCGTCAGTGAAGGTTGGTGGCATATGCTCCGTTCGTCTGATACTTGTGAATAATCTCCGCGCGTTGACTGTCCGGTCATCCTCCAGCCGGTAAGTGCCCACATGCACGCGTTATTCTTCTCGGATCTGATAACGTGGGCTGTTCTTTTGATGCAGCGTTTACCTTCACGTGCACGAATGTTCCGGGCTGCAGCGGAGTAGTATGCTTCTGGTAAGTGGTCTGATATCGATGGCGACGATCTAACTCGTCGGAATTATTGGTTGCAGAAATAGAATATGCGGCATTCCACTTTGTCCGAAGGGCACGCCCAAGCATGAGTTCAGCTGGCGTTTTGTCTGTGGCTAGGTGGTGTGCGGTTCGGTGAGAAAATAGTGCTTGTATTACTACATCCTCCTAACCTGTATCAGATAAGCGAATAGTTTGGATATTCTCTTTCAAGGATCGATTGAACCGCTCTACCATGCCGTTTGCCGCTGGATTATACGGCGTTGTACGTGAGTGCCGGATAGCGTGAAGTTGAAGGAACGAATGAAACTCGTGGCTTGTAAACTGCGGCCCGTTGTCCGTCACTATCTCCTCTGGTAATCCGAAGCGGGAAAACATGTATTTCAGCCATCGAATAATGATGGAAGTAGTCACCTCTCTACACAAAAGGACTTCCGGCCACCTACTGTAAAAGCAGGTCGCCACCAAAGTTTCTTTGATGCTGAGGCGCTGAGCTGAATGGACCCATGATGTCCCACGGTCGCATAGGATAGTCAGTGGGGTTGTATAGGGGAAGAAACCGGCCTTGAACTCTTGTCTGCCCTTTGACATGAAGAGCAGTCATGAACAAGTTTTTCTATTTCGTGTGACATTTTGGGCCACAAGAAACATGCGTCAACCATGCGTTTCGTACGAACGATACCGGGGTGGCTTTCGTGAGCACATAGCATGATCTTTTGTATCAAGTTCCGAGGAGCCACAAACTTTTCGCCACGCATTAAAAATCCATCTATAAATTAAGGTTCATGACGCAACACGTAGTAGGGACGAAACTCACCTGTGATCTTGTTATTTTGTGGCCAACCGTTTAGCAGAAACCCCTGAACGCGGCAGAGTGTCTCGTCTTCCTGAGTCGCCTTCTTGAGTTCTTCTTTATTCAGGGCTGAGATTGCTTCATTACTCAGCGAAGACACCAGTAACCTCTCATTATCATCCTCATTCTTTTCAGTTTCATTGAGGGGCAGTCGAGAGCCCATCCGCTACCTGGTTTTTGCGTCCGGGTCGGAATTTAATTTGAAAATCATATGTTAACAATCGTGCATCTCAGCGATGTATCCGAAGTGGCCTGATGCCATTTGTTCCCCGAGTAAGTAAACTAGTTAGCGCTGCGTGGTCTGTACGAAGAGTGAAGGGTCTTCCGAACAAGAACAAATTCCACTTCTCACAGGCCCAAACACGGGCAAGGGCTTCTTTTTCCCCGGCAGAGTAAGAAAGCTCCGCCGTCGACAATTTTCTGGAAGCGTATGCAATAACTCTTTCATACCCACTTTGAATTTGGGATAGTATAGCACCCAACCCAATGTTTGATGCATCAGTAGAGACAATCGTTGGGCACATCTCGTCGAAAATCGCCATGACTGGTGTGGAAGCAATGCGGTGTTCTATCTCGTCAAATGTCTTTTGTTGGAGTGGACCCCAAACAAATACACTTTTCTCCTTTGTCAGTTCACGCAGTGGCTCAGCAATATTCGTGAAATCCTGCAGGTAACGTAGGTTGTAAGGACACATACCTAGAAAATGCTTTATTTCAGTGGAGTTCTGTGGGCAAGGAGCCTCGGTGATGGCACGTGCGTTGTCAAAACTCGGCTTCATACCGTCATTTGTTATAATGTGGCCCAGGAACTCGATCTCACTAGCATTAAATTTTCAGTTCTCGGGGTTTAATCGGAGGTTAATATCATGTAGTCCACGTAACACAGCGTGCAGTCGTGAATCATGTTCTTCTGGAGTCCTACCGAATACACAGATGTCGTCCATGTATACTATTTGACCAGGTAAATTGGCAAATGAGTGAACCATAAACTTTTGCCAACCTGCTGGGGCTAAACTCAAGCCCATCGGAAAGACTTTGTACTGAAAGAGTCCGTCCATAGTGAGAAATGCGATCAGCGGTCTTGACTCCTTACTTAGAGGCATGTGAAAGAAAGCCTTCCTAAGGTCCAATTTTGAAAAATATCGGGCGCCGGCTAATTTGACTATTAGTTCATCCGCGGTTGGCAGCACAAACTTTTCTACTACTATTTGCCGATTTAGGGCCTACAGGTCATTGCATATTCTTACTGTACCGTCCTTCTTGAGGACTGTAACCATAGGGTGGACCCATTCAGAACCGTTAATGGTTTCAATGCGATCATCTGCCGTAATGTTGACGAAACAGCCTCTCTTCTGGCCAAAGGAATTGGACGTGGATGAGCGATAGCTACCGGTTTAGCATCCTGCTTCAGACATATGCGGTGAACGGAGGAGGGAGCGCGTCCTATTGTTTGTTCAAATAATTTCAGCTATCTGATAGGTTAATTTCCATGATAAACATACGAGATAGGGTCGGCGTGACTCCCAGTGCAACCATAGCGTTGCATCCGAGTAAGGGACGGTTATTTCCTCGGGTAAGGTACACAGCAACTGATGATTTCACGGCCCCAAGTTGCAACACAATCTCCACAAATCCCCGTATTTCTACCGAGGCCGTTGTATAACTGTCAAATCGATAGGCTGAAGGGTGTATAGGCATGTCATGTAGGTGAATATAAAAACTACTCGGTACTATAGTGATAGGAGAGGCTGAATCAAATTCTATGTCAACATGTGTTGTTCTATCGTGTGCAATAACTGTAACAGTACGAATGTCAGGCATAGGTAGTTTAGGCTCTGAACAATTGGAACGATAGTTAGACACAGTACTTGTGTTATCAATGGAAAATACATTTTCAGAGGGCTGTAACTGTTGACTAGAAACGGAATCTGTAGGATACAACTGAGAAATGCGTACTGAACGATAACAACGGGCAAAATGTCCACGCTTACCGCACTTTCTGCAATCCATTTCTGAGTCAGGACACTTGGTAAAATTGGCTTAGTGCTGTAGGCTGCCGCAGCGGAAGCATTTCTGGGGGGATTGGAATTCGGTTGGTGAGCGATGGATCTTGGCAACCTCCTTTATGTCTGCGTGGGTGGCGAAACATCGCAACTGTTCGTCCGTACATGTTTTGAGGCGAGCTAAGTCCACAACCTTATCCCAAGTCAATTTGGAAGCGTCTTCGGAAAGTAGACATTCCCGAATTCGGTTTTTGGTGATTCCACTAATCAAATGCTGCACTAGCATTACACCCTCGATTCTGTTTTTCGGTATGGTTGGATACTCGCAGGGTCGTACACCGCGAACGATGCGATTAACAAAACTGTTTAGAGTTTCCGATGGTTCCTGTGTAAGTCGGCCGAATTTGAGGCGAGCCATGAAGAGATGTGTACGCTATCCCCATGACTTGTCCAGCACCTCTAGTGCTTTCGTTAAGGTATCTTGTGACTGTAGCTCCAATGCATCAAATTGACGTTGTCCCTCATCACCGAGTAGATGTCTGAGAAGTTTCAGTTTCTGGCCTTCAGTGTAGTTAGAAGCTGCAGGTAGTAGCTCAAGATAGTTTGTAAACGAGGTT